TATCATTGGAAAGATTCTCCAGAACACATTATATCTGATAAATTAACACCACACACACAGACAACCCATGCTATCCCTTTGCAATCTAAAAGAAATTGAACAAAGGAAAGTGGGATGATGGAGGAGGAGAGGAGGACAAATTTAGAGAGCAGTTTTATAATTTAGAAAATACATGTAATGCTCAGATTGAAAAGAAAAACAGGGGAAAGAGGTGCCAAATTAACCTGGGCTCAGTGACATTACAGACTTGTAGTACTATTATTTTACTCTAACTGCCATGTCTCCATCTTTCCATCCTGTGAAATCTTGAAATTTGTAGTTTGGTGAAGCACTGAAGTACTCTGGCTAAGAATTCTATATATCCCTCTCTAAAACTGTCTCTCACCCCTTGCTCTAGGCAGGTGGACTCTTTCACATAGCACATAGTTTAAAACTGTGGGATTCAGTGTCACAAAATGAGGTGGTGGTTCTCGCCTGGACACTTTTGAAAGTAAATATGATAAACATTAGGGCCATCAATGGCCACTAGTCTGATTGTCTATATGTTATCCAGGGGCACTATGCTTCTACACATCAGTTGCTGGGGAATATGAGCTGGAGAAGGGGGTTGCACTCAGGCCTCATATAGGCAAGGAAAGATGTTGAACCACTTTGGTTTAATTCATTTTGACTCTTCTTGTGATATTGGTAAGGACTAATATGTTAGACAAGATCCTAAAGAGTAAAGACATACAACTGACCACCAAAGTGAGAGTTGTTCAGTCCATTGTATTCCCCATCATCATGTACAAGTGTGAGAGATGGACAGTGAAGAAAACAGACAAAAAGAAAATCAACTCTTTTGAGATCTGGTGCTGGAGAAGAGTGCTGAGAATACTGTGGACTGCCAAAAAGGCATACAAATGGATCCTTAAAGAAATGAAGCCCAAACTTTCCCTGGAAGCCAAGATGATCAAATTAAGGCTGTTGCACTTTGGCCACATCATGAGAAGGTATGATTCATTAGAAAAGACAATAATGCTAGGAAAGGTAGAAGGCTGTAGAAAGAAAGGAAGACTTTCTTTCTACAGCCTTCAGATAAATCACAGGCCAACATTTACAGAACGTGTGCAGAGCTAAATGATTCGCCATGTAGTCTCTATGATTTGAGGTCGACTTGAGGGCAGTTAACAACAACAACATGAACATGTTATCCTAGTAACCCTTAGGTTATAAGACCAGAGTATTGTAGTTGTTTGAGTATTGGACTAGAACTCCAGAAGACCAGGGTTTGAATCCCTGCTCAGCCTTGGAAACTCACTGGGTGACCTTAACAATAAGCTTACAATACAAATAGCAAATAAAATAAAATATATGAAATAAAAATACTTTGAAAATGCAAATAAAACTGGTAAATGGCTCTCTTATAGAATTAAAAAAAAACAAAGAGGAAGAAAATTGATTATGAAACTAAAAGAAGGAAAAGAATATACACAACAAAGTAAAATTAAACAAATAGTTACAATTTTTTTAAAAAAAATTATTCCAAGAAGACCATATTGCAGAAAAAAGGAAACAAAAAATTCATGAATTTATAAAGCAAGAAAATATACCAAAATTTTCAGTAGAGCAATAAGAAATCCTGAATGAAAAAATATCAAAAGAGGAAATAATAAATGCTATCAACAAATTAAAAGATAATAAGGCCCCGGGCCTGGACAGCTATACTGCAAAATATTACAAAACTTTAAAAAAAGAATTGATTACCCCATTATATGATGCTATTAATGAAATAGAGATAGGTCGATATCCACAAACGTGGAGAGAAGCAATTATCACACTGATTCTGAAAGCGGATAGAGATGCAAGCTATTTTCAGAATTATAGACCTATATCATTGCTAAACACTGACTACAAAATTTTTGCAATAGTACTTTCAGAAAGACTAAAAAAAATTATATCGAAATGGATAAATGAAGATCAATCAGGGTTTACACCAGGAAGACATATAAAAAATAATGTGAGAACTTTAGTGAATATAATAGAATATTATGACCATCATCAAAATAGGAAATTAGGCATTATCTTTCTCGATTACGAGAAAGCATTCAATAATGTTAACTGGTTTTATATGAAAGAGACTCTAAGACAATCCGACGTTGGAAATAAAATGATAAAATGGTTAGAAGAAATTTATAATCTACAAGAGGCATGGATAGATATTAATGAGGAAAAATCAGAAAAATGGAAAATAAACAAAGGGACAAGACAGGGTTGTCCGCTCTTCCCCTTGTTGTTTATAATGATATTAGAAAATGTATTCCAAAAAATTAGAAAGGATGATCAAATTCTGGGTCTATCAATAGGAAAACAACAATATAAAACTAAGGCCTTTGCAGACGATGTGGCCATAATATTAGACGACCCTAAAAAGAGTATTAAAAAACTATGGGCTATTCTAGAAGTAACTAGCAAGATGAAAGTCATGAAGATCATCAAAAAGAAAAGTAGCATTCTAATTAAAAACTTTAGTAAAAAAGAAGAGAAAGACCTAAAAACCCAAATTGATCTCAAAATAACTGATAAAGTAAAATATCTGGGTATCACCTTGACTAATCAAAACACAAATCTTTTAATGAACAACTATCTAACAATGTGGAATCAAATAAAAGAAAAGCTAAACAGTTGGAAGAGAATCAATCTCTCGCTATTAGAACGTATTGCAGTCATCCAGTCATATGTACTCCCTAAAATCTTATTCTTGTTTCAAACTATTCCTATATATATACCAAAATCCCAGTTTAAAGCTT